CAAGGGAACTCACTACTCAAGCTGCTCACAACACTTCAGCCAATTAGCAAGAAATGGCTCTACTTGCTTCTGCCCTGACTCCCACCACTCACCTTGGCCTTAGGAGCCATGTAGGACCAAATCGTGAGATTTTATGGCTCCGATCTGCTGCTTCATCACAAAAGAGCAAGGGAAGGTGTAACATTACCGTTAGGTTACAAAGAGAATCACAACCAGCGGAACCTATTGGGCATGTAACTACTAAGCTCAAGCCCTGGCAAATCCCTAGAAGGGACTGGTTCTCCCCCGAGTTCATCTTTGGTGCGTCCACTTCAGCGTACCAGGTATTAATTAATTTCTAGCACAAATGTACGCCTATCTGCTAATTTAAAGGAAATGGTGTTAACTGATTCAGTGATAACTAGTACTCCTCCATTCCGTATTAGTTGTCACTGATTTAGTACAAAGTGCATGTTAATGGTTGTTCAATTGCACAAAATGTCATATATGTCGCCTGTGTAGGTTGAAGGTGCTTGGAATGAAGATGGCAAGGGGGAAAGCACTTGGGACCACTTCTGCCACAATTATCCTGGTAACATATAATCAGCCTTAATTTTTGTTCTATTTATGTATGTATATATATATATATATATAACAACAAGTAGTACTTTCTAGTGTTAAAAACATATGCTATAATTTTTCCTGCATCCTTCACCCTTCATGTGTATATGAACAGAGCGCATATCTGACGTGACCAATGGGGATGTCGCAGCGGACTCCTACCATATGTATGAAGTAAGTACTGATATGCCAGTAACTAGCTATATATATATATTAAAAAATGACTTCGGAGGGCCACTTGTTAAAATGCACCGCACAACTCATCATTGGGAAGATCCAAGACACACCTAGGATGATCATGCTAATGGAACAGGAAATATTTTGAACAATTCGTCATGAAACTGAATATGTAATCTTTACAAAATGAAAATACTAAGGAAATCACAAGTGGATATATTAAAACTATTATTAATAAGAACATGAATTGTGTTATAGTGCATGAATTGTGTTTCTAGTCATGATTACACCAAAGTTAAAATTGGGAAGCAGATCGAAAAAGGTGCGAGTTGCCCTCTTATATTTATTGGAATTAGATGAGTTTTGGGTATCCAGCTAATGTATTGGTTACATATGTGCAGTTATCTCTGTTACTTGTAACAAATGTTATGAGAGGATGGATTTTATGCCGTTGCATTTTCTTGGGAAAACAATTATGAATATCTAGTTCTAATTCAAATATGCATGATAATATGTTGTCATCACTATTATGTCATCATTTATGACTGACAGGAGGATGTCAAAGCGCTGAAGGACATGGGCATGGATGCGTATAGGTTCTCCATCTCTTGGTCGAGAATACTGCCAAGTAAATACAAAATAACCATATATGTTCTGTACGGTGAATATGTTCGGAATAGGAAAGATGTGCTCTACAAATTAGGTGCTTCCGATCAGAATTGTTATATTGCTGGTGTCCTAATTTCACCACATGCTAATCATGGCTTTCAGATGGGACGGGAACCCCAAACCGGAAAGGCATTCATTACTACAATAAGCTGATCAACTCGTTGATACGTCATGGTGAAAACCTTTTTCTTGTTGGTTTGATTAGTGCTTAATGAGTCAGACTCGCAAAAGCTTGAATAAATCATTATTTGTTTATGTAACTCAGGCATAGTGCCATATGTTACAATTTGGCATTGGGACACCCCTCAAGCACTGGAAGACAAGTACGGCGGCTTCTTAGATCCGAGGATTATGTAAGTATGCAGCAAGCAAAAGAAAATTGATTTCTATGACGGTGGTTCTAAAGAAAGATCAATAATTCAAATCACGACATTTATAAAAGCTATGAATTATAATATTGTCAAATATGATTTGAACAAGATTATTATTTTGTGGGTCATATATGTAACTATTAGAGGAAGCTCATCAATGGGCAAGAGCAAAAAAAGAAGTTTCTTTTCAGATCAAGAACAATGTTCCGATGATGCATCAGGAAACTAGCATAACTATTTAATGTTGAACATCCTTCGGGGTTTGATTTTTTTGTCCAGAAATGACTACAAACACTTCGCCGAGGTGTGCTTTCAGAGCTTCGGCGACAGGGTGAAGCACTGGTTCACCTTTAACGAGCCACACACATATTGTTGTTTCTCCTATGGAGAGGGGATTCATGCTCCTGGGAGGTGCTCGCCTGGGATGGATTGTGCCATCCCAGAAGGAGACTCGCTCAAAGAGCCATACATTGCTGGACACCACATCCTCCTAGCTCATGCCGAGGCTGTTGAGCTGTTCAAAACACATTACAACCAGGTACATACATAAAGATGTATTTATTTATTTAATTGTTTGTTTGTTTATTTATTTATTTTATATTGACGGACCAACTGCAGTGTGAGGATGGCAAAATAGGGATGGCTTTTGACGTAATGGGTTACGAGCCATACCAAGACTCGTTCCTCGATGAACAGGCCCGGCAAAGATCCATCGACTACAACCTCGGATGGTTCGTAGAGCCAGTGGTTCGTGGTGACTACCCCTTCTCCATGAGATCACTTATCGGAGATCGTCTACCCATGTTCACTGAGCTTGAGCAAGCCAAGCTAGCGTCCTCCTGTGACATCATGGGTCTCAACTACTACACCTCCAGGTTCTCCAAGCACATTGACATGTCATCAAACGTTACGCCAAAGCTGAACATCGACGACGCTTACTCTAGTTCCGAAAGTAAGAAAATGTGGTTGAGGGCTAACCTTAGAACTTCGCCGTTCCTTTGAGAAATTTGATGTTCTCGTACTAATCATGCACCTTTGTTCTTCTGTTCGACCAGTTGTAGGGTGTGACGGGAATACCATCGGGCCTAAAGTATGCATCTTCCTATTAGCTACTTGGTTAATTGTGTGTACAAAACATAGGATGATAATGTAGATTATTTTCACCAAAATCTTATGGTAGAACTAGTCACCCGGACTTTAGTTAATTTTTTGCAAGAAAAAGTTCAGTGGCATAGGCATGCTAATGTTTTGTTTCTGGAATGAAGCTTAAACAAATCTGAAGTTTTTCCTTTCTCGTTATGAATTAAAAGTTTGGACACCAATTTGCAGACTGGAACTTTTTGGATTTACATGTACCCAAAAGGCCTAAGGGACCTCCTTCTGATCATGAAGGAGAAATACGGAAACCCACCCATCTTCATCACTGAGAACGGTAAGCAGTGGTGTGTGTGTGTGCGCGCGCGCTCACCGGTTCATATCGAACTTTAGTTAACTTGCAGCCATTATTTTTTCATTTCTCCTCGTGTGGGCCTTTTTTCGAGGGGTTGATTAGGTAGTTTTAGTTAATAAGAAGGTTGAAAATTCTGACACCAAAAGTAACTACGTGCGTTTCCATCATCCCCATGAAGATTGACACACTAATCTTTGAACAATCTTTGTGGTCGAGTGGTACTAGTTCCCTCAAATTATGACAAGAACCTAATCCATGGAGATGGTGATTGTTAGTGAGAGTTTTTCCTTTTTGAGGGAAGTGTGATGGATTTAACTTGTGTGTGCAGGAATGGCTGACGTGGACGGCGATGAAACCATGTCAGATCCCCTGGATGACTGGAAAAGGCTAGACTACCTCCAGCGCCACATCTCAGCCGTCAAGGACGCAATAGAGTAACTACCCACACTAAAATCCTACCTTTTGATTTATTTTGCATTTTGCGGTTTTGCCTATGTACACACATACCCTAATTGCACATTGATCACTCGCTCAGTGGTACGTATGTACGTACGCAACCATGCAATGCATATGTACTTCCTCCGTTCCGAAATATAAGTCTTTTTAGATATTTCAATAAATGACTACATACGGAACAAAATCAGTGAATCTACACTCTAAAACATGTCTAAATACAAAGGTATGTTGTAATCCATTTAAAACGTCTAAAAAGACTTATATTTAGGAACGGAGGAAGTATATGTATACATACACACATGGTTGAATTCTAGCTAAGCGCTTCTATATATCCGTGCCTCCAGCCAAGGCGTGGACGTGCGGGGCCACTTCACGTGGGGTCTCGTTGACAACTTTGAGTGGGGCCAAGGCTACAGCTCACGTTTCGGCCTCGTCTACATCGACAAAAATGACGGCCTCAAGCGCAAGCTCAAGAAGTCAGCCAAGTGGTTTGGAAAGTTCAACGCCGTCCCAAAACGCTTGATTGGTATTACCAAACCAACTGGGCAAGCTCCCGTGTGACGGACAAGCGGTGTTATGTTTGGATAAATAATCCAATGCTGAATGCATGGTATGCAGTTTGAAGAAACAAGTAATCCAATGGACGTAATAAAAATGAAGGAATGTGCCATTTTACTACCGGTGATGTTAAATTAGTAACCTTGACTCCAAAGGGTAGCTCCTCAGCTTCCCGCTCTGGCTCTGTAGTTTGTTTTCTTTATGTTGGGCTTACCTGTGCTGCCGCCCTAGCCCGAAGTATTTCCCTTTTGCTTGTTGAATCTTTGTATTCGGTAATTGTGTGCTTGTGGAACTCATCGATTTATCTATAAAGTGGGGCTTCATGCCTTTTTGTGATGTTGAATCTGTATGGATGATGCAAAAACAAATATCAAGGGAAAAACTATTGTGAAAATTGAAAAGACCTCGAAGCAAAGTACTACCCTCATGCCCCTACGTGGGAGGTTGGGAGGAGTTAACCATTGGGTGCCCCCGATCCGGACAACACAAAAGATTTCAATCAATGATAACGTTCCAACGTCCTGGTCATGCCATGATTGACACTTGAATCAATAGTACATAAGAAACCTTAATATTGATATTTTACTAACCAGTGATTATCAACTATTAAAGTTTCATATTATAACTTCAATACCATATAAATCACACACATCATATTCAGTGATCTACATGCAAATTTTTATTATACCATTCCTGTATACCTATCATTCTTAGAGGAAACATATAACCAATGCAAATTACCACTAACCATTCAACTCTCAAAAGGATATAAGTGAAGCATGAGAGTGCATATGATTTCTATAAAGTACAACTACCGCCGTGATCTAAAGATATAAGTGAAGAACATGAGCAACTGCCTAACTCAACAGATATAAGTGAAGAATAAAGAGCATTTTATAAATTACCATGAATGTGTGTCTCTCATAATTGGTGTGATCAGAAAAAAATGAATGTGGAAACAAACAAACAAAACAAAAATATAATACACGACGCTCCAAGCAAAACACATACCATGTGATGAACAAAAATATAGCTCCAAGTGATATTACTGATAGATTGAAGACGAAAGAGGGGATGCCATCCGGAGCATCCCAAGCTTAGATGCATGGATCTTCCTTGAATATTACCTTGGGGTGCCTTGGTCATCCCCAAACTTAGTGCCTTGCCGCTTCTTATTCTTTCATCCATCGTCATCTCATCCAAGAGTTAAAAACTCAAGTCACATAAAACTTAACAAAACCTCGTGAGACCCATTAGTACAATAGATAAATCATTAACTTAGGTACTGTCATAAATAGATTCAGAATTGTTCTTGCATAACATCTACTGTATTCTATCATCTCCATGGCTTATACCCCCCGATACAATCCATAGTTACATAAAAAACAAGCACATATACAATAAATCTGTCCAAAATAGAACAATATGTAATGATATGAACTAAAACCGTACTTATGTAACTCTAAAAGTTCTGAAAATTTAGGACAACGTAGAAAATTTGTATCCCAATACCGTGTAAAAATTTCAGAGAATAATCATGTGGCGCCCCGCCTGAATACCACTGTAGCCAGATGGTCGCCGCACACTCCAGCCCAGAAAATCAATCTGGCATGCGCATTTAAAACAAGCATCATGCACACAGGCATTTCTATTAATGGATATATAAGTCTTACATGATATTTTACGAGAGGTAATGGCAGGGGAAAGCTCTATCTAAGGCAGCATGGTCTTGGCGCGGCTCCAATCCACAGGGATCTGGCTGGGATACTCTTCTAGCTCACGAACGCTCCGGCTCCTCGCTAGTGAACGTCGAATCCTTAGGTGAACCTGGCCACATTGAAGGCCGATGAGTACTTTTGAATATACTCGGAAGCAAACCAAATAACATATACACCAAGCAACGCAATCCATGGCATTCAAGCATGCATTAGTTATCTTAACAATATTAGCCAACATGTTATGGCAGGATTAACTACCAATATTACTTATCATGTCAACACAAGATTAGCTAACATGATATCTACCAAAGTAAATGCAGTAGGGTAAAGCATGGTAGTGCAGGTAACTTGTCAAGTTCCCTCTCTTGATTCCTTTGGACCATATCCAGGTTCTGACGGTCATCCGACCATCTCCTCCATAGCCATCCCATGGCTAACATCTCCACTTCTTGACATCATCCGATGTCCAGGCCTCTGTGCCGTAAATCTGACAAAGCTTACCCTATCTGGGTCATTATCAGCAATAACATTATATAGTTTCTTCTTCCAGACTTGAAACAGACCAAATAGTATGACCTAGTACGAACTGTCTCCCATGAACGAGGACTCGGCTATTCGAATAGATTTACACTCTGCAGAGGTTGCGCACTTTACCCACATTATGGACATTCATCCAAGGAAACTTGTCTAACCCGTGACTCCCTTATCATACCACCAACAATCACTCCCACTTTCGGGTCATGCCCTGGGTGGCCCCTGTGTCACTGCTGACACCTACCACCATTGTGGCCAAACTAAACTGTCCCAAACGGGGACGCCGGCAAATAACTCAACTTGGGCTCACAAGGTTATCATCGCCTACCGGGCCAGGGCACGCACGCATAACCTTCCCTCTTTGGTGGTACCGGTTAGAGAGCACGCGTTTAGACCAAGTCAAGGCCGTTCCATACCGGCAGATGTGGCTGCACTGGAAAGCTCGGTTCGGTGGCACTATGACCAAATCCAGCCGACAGAGGAAGTTGTTGTCATTATTTAGTCACATTCTTAATTACTGTAATAACAGTAATGATGCATGATGTAAAAACTGTGACAACATAACAACCTATCTCCATATACTATCACAATGAGTCATTAGTGCGGTATTGGTAAACTCTAACAAGTAATGTGAACAATAAATATATAAACTATCAGGAGTTTAAATATTTCTAACACGAACATGCTCATTAAGTTAAACACACAAGAGTACTACAGATAAATGCTTTAGGGCATATATATCAGATGGTCGGCTTGCCTGGGGG